AGTGTGTAAAGAGTAGCGTAAGAACAACGCTGCCTGAAGGAAAGGCTGAAACAGCATATCCTCAGACTTCCTGATCCCAGGCAGAAGGCAAAGTAGAGTGGCACCTTACAGACTGACTAAATCAGTGATGCATATGTTTTTGTAAGCAAGAGTTTACTTTAGCAGATTTATCTCTGATCCCAGTTGGTAGCCATTCAGTATGTGACCTCCCCAAAGGGTACCATTGAAACCAGTCCCACTTTGCTATTTTGGACCCAGGACTGGGATTTTACTCCAGCATGTTTCCATGCAGAACCTCAAGTAAGTCAAGACCAATGAATGCAAAATCTTGCAGTTTACAGGATGAGAGGTAGGAGTGAGGCTATAGCAATAAAGCAACACAACAAAAATATGCGAGAGAGAGCAGGAGCTCCCACATCACCCCCTCTTACACTTTTTGTATATTGTTAATCCTCCCAGATTCTTTCCTTTCCAATTTGCAGTCACAGTGACTGCTTTTTAAATCCCCCTACAATGCTGTATCTTCCCACACTGTCTACTTTCCTTACCCCACAAAGAGAAAGTGCAGCCTGTCACCTGCTTCCACCCATCATCACTGTTTCTGTTTTGCTGAGTGCTATTTCTGCCTGTCTTTTCCTGTCTGCTTTGGAAGCCATCGCCCTCCTTTCAACTAGGGGGCTGTGAAGTTAATGGCTGCAGAAATAAATCACATCAAGAGCACTTTAGTGGCAGTTTGTCAATGCAGGGCTATTGACAGCTACCATGGGCAACAAGTGCTATTTCTGAGTGGAACATAAGCTGTAGATTCCTTAGGATGGAATCTGATTAAGTGGTAGGCTTTTTTCCAGTTGTAACAAGCTTCATGGAACCATTGATGATTATAAACAGAAGAAAACATGATGTATTTGCTATTAAAGGGGAATATGTCATTGCCAAAAATATTTGTGAAATTCCTTTTTAATTTAGCAACTGCAGACAGACAACTGATCTAAGTCATATGCAGCTATTAACAGCCCTAAATTACTATGAAGTAATATGCAGTTCTCTTAGACAACAAGCTCTAAAAAGCTTTTATTTCTATAGGTCTAACAAACCTGCTTTCACTTCTTATAGGGTGAATCCTATATAGATTTTACCTGACATTTTGTAAAGCAGTAATATCTTCAGTGCATGTGTCTGACCTTTGATATTCAGCAGG